TATTTTATTGACTTGACTGAGCAGTGGAGGAGTCAAAAATCCACAAAAATATACCAGATACATGAGAAGACGGTCAGCACATCACTGCTTCATTGTCTCATTAGTGTATTAAGTCATAAATCTCTTGTTTGTAGCATTTATTAAACATAAGTGCAGTCTGTCATTTTCCGTTTTATTGGTGCTGAGTAATTACAATAATTATAAACAACATCATTACTACCAGCAACTTTAAATGTGTAATATAAAAGATGACTGGTCCCTTGGCCAGACTACAGCCATTTTAGTAATGCTGCTGTTTATGAAGATTGAAACCAAAGTCTCTTTGGTTTCTGTTTATAAGCAGATTCTAGTTTGTTTTTCCATTACAACTAAAAAGCTTGTACCACAGCGGTACAAGGGGTCATGATGTGGTTGACCCTTTGTACCGCTGTGGGTCAGTGTTTTTATGATTGGGCTCCATGTTGTTTGTACAGTATCGTATGTTGAAATCTTGCAGAAATTAAGCATTTTATTAGGAAGGAAAAGCATCCAGACTTTGTTAGGCTTCAAGGACATACACAATGCTTTTTGGTGAAAAACAATGAACGTAAGCATTACTGTTTATTGGAATGAAAATTTCACAGGGTACCTTCAACTCCGAATTCAGGTTAAACTTGCCATTTTGTTTACAACTATAACCTTCTCTGATTTCTAAAGATTTATTTAGTTTACAGAGCAGCTTTAAGAGCAAGCAGTAAGATAGATTTGGAAAGCAACTAGTGGAGAGGTGTATTATTGGCATTACAGAAATTAGGGCACTGGGCCAGGCTGGCTTTTGGGGAATAAACCAGAATGGGATCTACCTGGGTGTCTTCCCATCAGATGAACACAGAGAGAGCAGAAGCCATGCAGTATCTCTGCTGTAAGTGCAGCAACCCAGAGGGAGACGGCCAGAGGCAGAGATGAGAGAGGCTTCTCCTCCCTCCAGAGATTCAGTTTGTCTCCTACTGTCTTCCTCAAACTTTAAAATCTTTGTTAGTTTGTGTGGTCTCTACTTATTGTAGCCCCCTTAACAGGGTTTAAAATCTCTGAGCTCCCTGACAATGTAGCTAGGCCAGATTCGAATCCGGGCCGCTGCGGTAAGGACTCAGCATTGATATGTGGTGTGCACTGTACCCAGTGAGCTACCGGGGAGCCCTGAGCAGTAACTTCTAATATCAGTCTCCTGTCACATGCCCAAAATTGCCTCTGTGTGGCTGTTTTTCTGGCTAGATTCCAAGAGGTCAAGTTTAATGCAGAGGAGACAATCTTTTCTAAGCACACATACAGTATACGTTTCTAACAGTAAACTATTTGGAACTACTCCAAAATGAAAGAGGTTTTTAATACAAAATAATTGTAATATTTGCACTAATAAATTGGTGTTTGTATGGAGCCAGGACAGTGACTTTAAAATTTGGCATCCAAAAAAAAAAATTTGCATTGAAAACA